GGAAATGGAGAACTGCCCCCAGTTTCTCGGATTCTCTGTTCCCAGCAAGACTGATCACCTCCCCAACCCTCTTGGGTGGCGAAGCACATGTCACTCCAGCTGGGTCCCCTGCGAATGGAGGGCGCAATCAAAGTCAAGTCGGGGCAGATGACTGGGAAGTGCCAAACAAAACTAGGTCCCCCAGTAGTGCCCTTTTACCTTTTTTTGGGGAGGGTTCCCCTACGAAAATAGACTACAGAAAAAAGGGTACCCTTGTTCTAACCTCTACTGGAGGACCTAGAAATCGTGCAGAAAGCTTCCGCGATTTTTGACAGGGTTGTGTCACAAAGCCGGAACCCCGAGAAGCCAATCGAGGGCACCCATGTAAAATTATCGAATGTCGGGCCCGGTTTTGAGTAGATTCCGCACGACAAGTGGGTTGTCGAAAGTACGGCCCCTAGTTATGTACTGGCCCCAGGAAAAGGGAGACCAACTGGTTTTTTGTGTTTTGTTTTTGCAGGGACCGTTGGACATCGAACTTCGGTGGGTCACCCAGCACTCGAGGTGCTTCGAATGTTTGTCCCTGCAAAAACCTTCAGGTGGAGTACTGGAGCTCGGCCTACAACCTCTGGGTGCCCGCGCGCGTGCTTGGCTTCACGGAGGATGGCAAGAAGATCCTCGGAGTGGGCGGAAAAACAAAAAACAAAACAAACAAACAACGGCTCGGGGTGGATTCCATGGAACAGTGGTTGCAAAAGTCATGGGACACTACCTGAAAGGCTCCCCAAGAAACAGGGCCTTCAAGCTTTCCAGAGCCTAAAATTTCCATGGTGCTAAGGTATGCCTTTCGTCCATGTCATGTCAGTTCGTGGTGGTTTTTTGTTGCCAGATATGCGTGTTAGATACGTGTTCGAGTGACATCCATACTTGGAATCTCCAAGACCCTGAATGAGCGTTCAAGTCTGGGTGTTTGACAAACAAGTCCAAAGGGTCATGGAGACTCCAGATAGTCTAGATTGTTAGCCCAGACCTTCAGTTGTGCCCTTGTTTCTTTTTGATGGATTTTGCCTCGTAAAATCAACTGACAAAAAAAGGTGCCTTGTTTCACCATGACCACTAGAGATCTGGGTTTGGCTTAAAGTTGGGAGGGACTTCTGACAGAGCCCATTTAAAACACGAAAACTGTTAGCATCGACAAACCACTCAGGATCCACCTGGATGTCAAGAGATGTGCGGAAGAAGAGGAGATCAGAAAGAAGAGCTGAGGAGGTGAAGTGAATGTTTGCTCGTGGCCAAAATATTGTTTTTGTTCGCGAGTGGTTGTGGTCTCCCCTGTCCGTGTGTTTTTTGTTTTCTCCCGAAATGACGAGCACAACAACCTGAGTTGGGTGAGGTTTGGCCACGGCACATCTGCACCTTCCGCCGGGGATTATTTTTGCCTCGCTTGTCTAGAGCGAGGCATAACTCTTGTTTCAGGAGCGGTATTCGGGCCGTACCCCCAGAAAGGTTCGAACGGATCCTTTCGACAAGATCTTCATCTTGGAGGGTTCTATGAACCTTTTCTGGGGAGTGGGGGAGCCTTTGGTTTTTCCGCTACGTTTGAAGAGGTAGTTATAGTCGTAAATTTCAAAAGCAGGCCGAGTCATGAACCAAGCCAGCTGAATCCATGCCAAGGGGTTCAGCTCCTGGTCGCCACTTTCAGCGACCGGGAGCTGTGAACCACTGGCATTCGTTCGGAATGCGCAGCATAGTTTTCAGCTGAGGCTGTTTGTAGGTCAGGTTTGGTTCATGATGCAATCTATACAACCGGACTGTTTGCAGAGCAGTGTCTGCGCCACATTGGCAGAGGTCGGAGAGTTGGTAGCGCAGCAGTCTTTCGTCAGACATAGATTGTCCAGAATCTCTGGACTTCAAGATGTTGCTGCCCCCAATTTGAACAGGATTGCACAATTGGCATCGCAGGCCCAGTTGATGCATTGGGCTTCGCCGCTGCGAGCAAACCCGACAGGTGGAGATAAAAAAGCAGCGCTTTGACCTGTTTGACCGCAATATCCACTGTTTCAGAGGAATTTGTTTGAGAGTCTAAGCACTTGCTTTGGGTTCCCTTGTGCCCAGCAGGACCAAGAGTTGGCCCACGTCTCGTTCACACATTCCCATCTTTAGGATGTACAAGCATCAGGTTCCATGTCAATCTGTATTTCGCTTGCGGGGAACGAGCCCAGTGATCAAATGCTGTCGCTCTGAACGGGCAAGCCGAGAATGCCGCAACCCACCATCCTAGACACGCCAGTATGCGTTCTTTTTTTCCGGGAAGGGTTGCCCTTTCAACATCAACAACCAACAGAAAGTGCCAATTCTTTCTTCGCATGAAAATGCACTGAGTTTTCGAGCTGGACTCACTGGGTTTGACGACTCCGGAAGCTCGGAGACCCTCTTTTCCAAATGGAAAGCTCTGAGCTCGATGGGGATGGTAAGACCTGATTCTTGAGTCAGATGGGACACCCTCCAGCCTCCAAAGCTTCAGTCCAAACCACGAGTTGCAAGATGTTTTTTCCCACTGGCTGAGGATTGGATACTTCCCAGCCCAGTCTTTTTTCAGGCTGGCGAGAATTTCCAACTCCCACCTGGGCTCAAGTTCTGACTCCAGGGATTCCTTCTAAGACCCGCCAGATGTCCCTCTCTTATCGTTCTTTTGGACCTCAATAGCTGGGTTCCTGGTTTTGAGACCCACGTGACCTTCATGGCAGTGGCATTTTTGAGGTTCATCTCCACGTTCCAGGCGTTATTTTTCTTCTTTTTCTCAGTCTAAGGGTTTTGGTATTACATATTACACTCTGGGAATACACCCACTGAGTGTTGACCCCATTTAGGCACATGTCCGGATAAGACCGTGCTACTTTGAACCATTCTGGGTCATTTCCCAAGGGTGTAATCCCAGGGTGTAAGTTTTGCTTTTGAGATCCTTTTAGTGTTTAGTGGTAGTTTCCATTTCACCCACTAAAAGTTAGTCACTTTTAGCAGGGGATCTGAAAACGGGCAGCCCAGTCCACCTAGTTCCAGGCGTTGTTCCCTGACCCAGAAGGGATCTTAAAATATCCACGTGTTTTTTTCATCCGGACATGTGAGATGGGGTCAATGCCCAGTGGCTGGAAAAGCAAATCCCAGAATGCCATATCAAAAACGGTGCCTAGATGGGGTCAATGCCCAGTGGGAATAATTCTGGTCAATGCCCAGTGGGAATGATTATTTATCAATGCCCAGAGGGAATAATTCTGGTCAATGCCCAGTGGGAATAATTATTTATCAATGCCCAGCGGGAATAATTCTGGTCAATGCCCAGTGGGAATAATTATTTATCAATGCCCAGAGGGAATAATTCTGGTCAATGCCCAGTGGGAATAATTATTTATCAATGCCCAGAGGGAATAATTCTGGTCAAGTGGGAATAATTATTTATCAATGCCCAGAGGGAATAATTCTGGTCAATGCCCAATAATTATTTATCTGGGAAATAATTATTTATCAATGCCCAGAGGGAATAATTCTGGTCAATGCCCAGTGGGAATAATTATTTATCAATGCCCAGAGGGAATAATTCTGGTCAAATCCCAGTGGGAATAATTATTTATCAATGCCCAGAGGGAATAATTCTGGTCAATGCCCAGTGGGAATAATTATTTATCAATGCCCAGAGGGAATAATTCTGGTCAATGCAATGCCCAGTGGGAATAATTATTTATCAATGCCCAGAGGGAAGAATTCTGGTCAATGCCCAGTGGGAATAATTATTTATCAATGCCCAGAGGGAATAATTCTGGTCAATGCCCAGTGGGAATAATTATTTATCAATGCCCAGAGGGAATAATTCTGGTCAATGCCCAGTGGGAATAATTATTTATCAATGCCCAGAGGGAATAATTCTGGTCAATGCCCAGTGGGAATAATTATTTATCAATGCCCAATGAGTGGGAATAATTATTTATCAATGCCCAGAGGGAATAATTCTGGTCAATGCCCAGTGGGAATAATTATTTATCAATGCCCAGAGGGAATAATTCTGGTCAAATGCCCAGTGGGAATAATTATTTATCAATGCCCAGAGGGAAGAATTCTGGTCAATGCCCAGTGGGAATAATTATTTATCAATGCCCAGCGGGAATAATTCTGGTCAATGCAATGCCCAGTGGGAATAATTATTTATCAATGCCCAGAGGGAAGAATTCTGGTCAATGCCCAGTGGGAATAATTATTTATCAATGCCCAGAGGGAATAATTCTGGTCAATGCCCAGTGGGAATAATTATTTATCAATGCCCAGAGGGAATAATTCTGGTCAATGCCCAGTGGGAATAATTATCTATCAATGCCCAGAGGGAATAATTCTGGTCAATGCCCAGTGGAAATAATTATTTATCAATGCCCAGAGGGAATAATTCTGGTCAATGCCCAGTGGGAATAATTATTTATCAATGCCCAGAGGGAAGAATTCTGGTCAATGCCCAGTGGGTGGAATTATGGTCAACGGTCAATGCTATTTTGAACCATTCTGGGTCACTTCCCACGGGTGATCCCAGGGTGTAAGTTTTACTTTTTAGATCCTTTTAGTGTTTAGTGGTAGTTTCCATTTCACCCACTAAAAGTTAGTCAGTTTTAAGCAGGGTATCTGAAAACGGGCAGCCCAGTCCACCTAGTTCATGGCGTTGTTCCATGACCCAGAAGGGTTCTTAAAATAACCACGGTTTTTTTCATCCGGACATGTGAGATGGGGTCAATGGTTAGTGGGTGGACAAATTCCCAGAATGCAATATCTAAATACTGTGCCTAGATGGGGTCAATGCCCGGTGGGAATAATTCTGGTCAATGCCCAGTGGGCTCACTTCCTGAGTTCATGAACTTTAAACTTTTTGGGAAAACCATTTCAGTGGTAAATAGAAAGTTCAAACTTTTTTTTGGCCAACCCACTCGATACGGGAGTGGGTGAAATTATTCCCAGAATGTCCAAGAACTTCGACTCAGACTGAGGTGAAGGGCATCCATGTCCTGGGCCCCAACGCTGGGGAGATCATCCAGGGCCTGGCCGTGGCCATCCGCTGCGGCGTCACCAAGGAGCACTTCGACGACTGCGCGGGGATGCCCGCGGGGGTGGGGTTTGAGGGGGTGGGTTTGGGGGGGGGGGGGGTTGAGTCGGGTGGTGGTGGGGGCGGGGGTGGGGTTTGAGGGGGGTGGGGTGGAGTTAGGCGGCGGGGTTCGGAGTTTGAGGTTTGGGGTTTGGGGTTTGGGGTTTGGGGTTTGGGGTTTGGGGTTTGGGGTTTGGGGTTTGGGGTTTGGGGTTTGGGGTTTGGGGGTTTGGGCGGGGGGTGGGTTTGGGGTTGAGTCGGGTGGTGGTGGGGGCGGGGGTGGGGTTTGAGGGGGGTGGGGTGGAGTTAGGTGGCGGGGTTCGGAGTTTGAGGTTTGGGGTTTGGGGTTTGGGGTTTGGGGTTTGGGGTTTGGGGTTTGGGGTTTGGGGTTTGGGGTTTGGGGTTTGGGGTTTGGGGGTTTGGGCGGGGGGTGGGTTTGGGGTTGAGTCGGGTGGTGGTGGGGGCGGGGGTGGGGTTTGAGGGGGTGGGGTGGAGTTAGGTGGCGGGGTTCGGAGTTTGAGGTTTGGGGTTTGGGGTTTGGGGTTTGGGGTTTGGGGTTTGGGGTTTGGGGTTTGGGGTTTGGGGTTTGGGGGTTTGGGGCGGGGGGTGGGGTTGGGGTTGAGTCGGGGGGTGGTGGGGGGCGGGTGTGGGGTTTGAGGGGGTGGGGTGGAGTTAGGTGGCGGGGTTCGGAGTTTGAGGTTTGGGGTTTGGGGTTTGGGGTTTGGGGGTTTGGGGCTGACGTGGGTGGGTGGTTCGGGCATTGTTGAGGGGTATCCGACAACAAGACGCACTCATGTGCTTTTTGGACGGTACCCTTTTTGTAGCTTGGTTCAAACGGAAACCAAGTAGAAATCCATCATGTTTGGTTTCAAGATGGAGGCATCCCCAAATTGGGCCCGGTCTCCATTTTGTTTCCCAAACAACATTCCCAAAAAGGGTACTCTCAAAAAGAGACACATGCGCAAATGGCTTTGAGTTCTCTTGTTAGGGTACCCCCGCCCAAATGGTCGGACATCCATGTCCGAAACGATGCTGTCCAGTAGACCTAATTCAAGTCACTATAGAGATAGGTTTTGACCAGCTTTGGTTCAACCACGGAAATGGGTTGTTGCTTCAGCCTCAGCCAGCGGTAGGTCAGCTCCTGCTTTTGAGTTTTCGATTCTGGGTTCCAATGCCGCTGGGGCGCGGGAATTGGCTCATAGACGGTGCTATATTCAGCCTTTGATACACAGTGATGTTAATTCCCCCTATAGAAGAAAAACGTTAGGGCTCTGGTTCCCAGAAATGTTCCCAGAACCCTTTCTAGGAACCCCCTAAGAAGGTTCAAAGGAGGCAGGAACAAGCAGGAGGCGAAACCCGCCGATTGCTAGGCAAAAGACTAAAGTAGAGCAACAGGGGCTCTTACTTTCTCTTTCAGATTTTTGGGAAGACAATTTAGTGCCAAGCAAAAAGTGTCCTGTAACTGTCCTTTAAACAAACCCCGCATTGGTTCCATCGAAGTGAAAACACACAAAGGGTGGAACATTGGCTTTCCCCTTGAGGGGCCCAAGTTCGGATTTCAGCCCTGTAAGGTATTGTTTTGGCCACCGGAGTCCCGTCAGAAAATGTGATTTTTTTTGTTGGTATATATCATCTGAACGTATTGCTTTTAGTATTTTCTCTTTTCTTTTTGGGGTGGACCATTGTTCTATTTTTGTTTTGTAAATATCATTTGAACGTATTGCTTTTAGTATTTTAGGGGGTTCATGGGGTGAAGTCCACTCCCAGAATCTCGGCTTCAAATTCGTGAGACTGGCGCTTGGCTCGCAATATTTTTCACCGAGGTGGGCATCCACCCAACCTTCGCCGAGCCCGGCGCCCGGTTGGGCGTCGCGGGCGTCGGGTAGTGGACCCAACAAGGTGCATGACAGAGGGCAGTGGGTGAAAGATGGGTATCCAAAATGGAACCCTGGTAAATGTAAACATGGACTAGTATGTGCGGATTAATTTTGGCCCATGCTCACATTCTTTCAGGGTCATGGAGCCTCCAGGTAGGTGTCCATGTGGTTCTAAGAAGCAGAGAAACCGAAGCATTCCGAACTTAAAAGGCCCAGCAAAGACAGGGGCCCAGGGAAACATGCGTTCGAAGGGACCTCTCTTTCTGGATGGTTCAAGAGAGGTCAGCCACCTGGACGGATCCCGGCCTGTTTGTTTCTGAGAAATGAGTATGTGTTTTTGTGGAGGTTTTATACCCTTTTAAAGGGTGGGTTTCAAGGGAAACCAAAAGGAGACCAATCATTTCATATTTTGTCGCATACCCAAATGTTTCTGGAGCATTGCAGTTTTGACTGCCATCGGAGAGTTTCATGCAAGCCGCCAGTGACAACTTTGACCCGGCAATCACTCCAAGGGAAGCACAAGTTTGGCTATGTTTCTTTTGGGTCTATCTATTCCCATTCCAAGTCCATGTTTGCATCCGGTCGGGTGCACACACACACACACACTGTTGATAAACCATGAAGGCACCTGCCACAGCACATTCAGTAGGTGGAATAAACAGACCTGGACAGCTTTTTCAGAGTCGAGGACATTTGAGGTCCTGTCAAGTACTCAAGTAGTCTTGGTCAATTTGGGTTCAGGTCGACAAGGGGGACCTCACTCTTCATACAAATGCCACGGGAAACTCTGGGCTGAGATAGCTTCAACAATTTGTGATTCCAGCAAACCCCGCTCCACAGACGTGGCTGCAATTGGCTCCCTCGGTTTGCAGGAAATAATGAGGCGTGTGTGGTTTGATGTAATTATTGTACTCGGGGAATCGGCCATGGCAGCACATACGTTGCGTACCTGCCCGGCTTTTGGTGCGCGTGTGAGCGGCAGCAGTTGTGCAACTTCTCGGAGACTTGGTTTGCGCATTGCCCACAGCCTTGATCCAAAGACGCGGCGTGGGCGTGGGGATGTAGTTGAGCTCTCACAACTTCTCCTCAAATGTTGGTCGGTATTTGACGTATATTTAGAAGGTCAGCCCTTGGGGCGGGTGCATCCTTGAATGTTCTGCATCCAAATCATAGAACAAAATCCTTGAGGATTCCTGTTGGGCTGCCAATTAAACTTTCCTGAGACGGGGCTGATGTTGTATTTGATTCACTGGACAAATACACGTTCGTGTAGTCATGGGTGAACTGGTCTGTGACACCCGAAGCAGACAGGAGCAGAACCGTCAGCCACGGAGCTTTAACTTTCTGAATTCCTGCTCTTGACTTTACAGTTGTTGGGAAGCTATCTTCAGGGTCAAACCAGAGGTGCATGTTGCTTGGATGTTAGGATTTTAACTTTTTGCCAACTAATGGGTTTTCCGTTGAACCACTAAAAGTTATTCACTTTCTGAGGGGAGCAGAAAGCAACCGAGAAACCGAAAGTTTCATCATGTTTTGGCTGCTCCACTCAGAAAGTGAGACCCTTTTGCTGCAGGTCCTACACCACCATGACGGAGGAGAAGACAGAGGGTTCTGCCCTGCCGACCAAGGGAGGCGGGCACAGCTGGAAGCCCAATGAATCCTGCGCTTGACGCATCAGGCACTTTTTTGCCCGTGAAGGCTCCTTTGGTTTTGTTTCCCTCTTGGTGTTATGTCTTCGGGCCCGGAGTTCAAGGCAACTTGTTCAAGTACTGTACATCTCCGAGCTTGAAGGCTTCCGATTTTAAGTCCGACCAAGTACTATGATGGTACTTGATGGCGCTTGATAAGAGGTCCCCTCGCGAGGATATTGCCGGAGGTTGCTGGACATAACTATATTACTCTTTTCTAACCGCCGTACGGGCTCCTCCACTGAGATCCCCTGAAAACACAGACCCCAAAAAGATTCGGCGCCGAGATCCTGTGAGAAGGGGGGGGGGAAGGGGCCCGATTGTGGGACGGCTCGTTGAGTACGATTGCTAATCCTTGAAGTCTTAAAAAAAAACTGCTGTCGTGACTTTTTCTTGACGGGCTTGAGGGAAGCGACATGTCCATCGCCAAACACTTTGCTGGATGAAAACAAATTGCCATGGGTTTTTTGTAGAAATGGTGACAAGGTGATCGGCTGAAGGCTTCAGATTGACATGTTAACCCTCCACCAAGGACGGCAAGGAAGGTGCCCTTGTGGGAAGGAGGTTCCAAGTGGCAAGCCGTATGGCCATGGTCAATGGAGGCATCCGCATGTCCACGTTTGAAGAAAAGAAGCGGACACGGAAGCCACCGAGCTGCACCTTAAGGGCGAGTCCGCAGTTGGGACACAGTGGCAACATGGCCAGTAGCCAGAGAGTCCCTAGAATTGACGAATCCCCCAAGGAACAAATTTCAAAGCCGTAGCTATGAACTCTTCGGACCCTCTGGAGAAGGAATCTGTGAGGGCGACATCTTGACCTCCCTTACAATTGGGGACTTCCGTTGGAGAGAGTGCCGCGTGCTCATAGTGTCAGTTTCCCCATGTTGGGTTTTGAAACGGGAGCGGATTGACGGCTGCTCTTCAGTGGGACTGCACGGGGGAGTCAAACGTTGGATTTGGAGGGTCGACGCAAGTCATCCAGAATTTGATGTTCCTTAGCTGCAGCGCATGGTAAACTCTGCATCTTGGTTCAAGACAGAGCCCAGGTTTGAACAGCAAGAACCCTTTCGTCGACCTCATGAACTGGAGATCCACGGGCAAAGTCTAACTTGAACCTACACAGGGCCAAACACACG